GGCAAATATCGTAAATTGACTAAAATATCGGTATATATTTAAATAATAAATCCAAAGTACAATTTCACTACTAAATTTAAATTATCAGTTAACTCGGCTTCGGACTATTCGAAATTCTAATACGTAACAGCACTGCATACTGTGGAGTTGAGGTTCTGTTGTTCATGCTCATTACCAGCAAAAATAAAATGAAATAAAGGTTAGATCTTTTTTTATAGCTGTGGGTGGGTGATAAGAGTAATGATTAAATCACACTCTTTGGTGACACAGGAGCAGCCTAAATGTTTGTGGTGGAAGGTGTTGACTTGTTGTCTTCCTTCCAGTCTATCACTTCAAAATTAGGAATGGCTAGTGCATACAGTCCTTGTGTAATTTTCTGTGAAATTCAACAAGCAAACAAGCATATGTTAGCACTAATAAATTATCCTCTTTGCAGTGTATTTAAATTAAGGTTTACCTAAGGATTATAAAATTTAATAGTTCTTCAGTGTGAAAGTAAATTCTGATTTTGAATGTTTGAGTTATTATGGTATATACAGATAGGATGTAACCAAATTAATTGAGATTTTTTCCTGTGATTTTATTAGGTGTTTCCTTGTGAGAAAATTTAATATTTTTGGGTTTCGATTAATATTATTTTCAGGTTTCATATATTTTCCTCTTCCAACTGTTTATAATCATTAATTTTTATTACCATTTTTATTGATTCATTGATATTTTTATATAATAGTATTCTTATAATTTTTGGCCACATCAATAAAAATAATGTCATTTTACTTTACAAGATGAAAGAAAAATACTAAACAAAATATAAAATTGTGACATTGGTGAGCTACAGTGCAATAACTTATCATTTTATTCTATGCTTAGAAACATTTGATTAAAAATAGATTTAAATAGGTTTCAGCATTCTATATCTCATATTTGTTCTACTTTACTTTTTATTTTTTAGAATGTTTATGAGGTTTGTGTTTTATTTATCTTCTCATAGTATACTACATGAAATAGTCTTCACAGTTAGTGAATGGAGCCAACTACTGAGTTCTTTAAAAAAAAAATAGTAAATGCATATTTATGTGTTAAAACATGACAAGGCAACTAGTGATTCACTAAAAATTAAACATTTTAAAACTATCCATTGTCTCTTGGTTAATAAGGTATGAGTCATAGGGTTTCAGATGTCAGTGGAAATATATTATAGTGAGAGACAAAAATCCACACGTTTAGAGAATAAAATCCGTGTGATATATCTTGTACTCCAACTGATAATTTTTTATAAAATGTGAATACGTTATAGAATATGCTTTCCAAGAGTTTGTTTTGATCTAGATATTTTTGCTTTATCAGTTTAGTTGCTCTTATTCTTGTTTTATTTTAGCAAAACGAATTTGAATCAGTATATATACATATATATGTTTTGAATTATGCTTCAGCAAGTTGCCATTACATAAAGCATATGTTTTATCATGTTTTAGTACATAAAGCACTTTACATTTGAAATATATATATTTTTTTTATAAATTTATATGTATTAGGTGTTATGTATTACAATTTCAAATAGCCTAAAATTGAGTTAAACTGTAATTTAGGTTTAACAGTTCAATAAATGCTGATATATATCCAACTTGTGATATTTGCCAACATATCATGTTTTAGTACATAAAGCACTTTACATTTGAAATATATATATTTTTTATAAATTTATATGTATTAGGTGTTACGTATTACAATTTCAAATAGCCTAAAACTGAGTTAAGCTGTAATTTAGGTTTAACAGTTAAATAAATGCTGATATATATATCCAACTTGTGATATTTGCCAACAAGATTGATACGCACATTTTACTTTTCTAATACAAATATATTTTAATATACATCCAATAATACGATTTACAATAACAGTTATCATAAATAGTTATTACAAACAAAGATTTATATACAAAAGTTTTACAAACTTACAAGCAATATTAAATCTTTCTAATCTGGAACTTCCTTGATATCTTATCAAGGGTTCACGATGTGCAAGTTAATTTCGAGTTGATGTAGGTGCAATTCACTTAATAGGAAACTAGTTACTAGCTCTGTGGTCTTCACTGATCACACGCCAATTTTTTTCCACCGATGAAGGTAGGTAATGTTTTCATAAAAGTACTAATGTCTGATGTGAATCCACTGAAGTTAAATGGTGGTATAATGTTTGAAATTTATAAATGTTTCTGGTCAAATATCTGAAGTTTTCCAATTAATAAGCATTAATCACAAATATAGCTTCCAAGGTTTATAGTATACCAGCTGTAGCAAACCAATAACACATATTCTTTTTTGGTGCGTCGTGTTGGTTATATTTTTAGGCATGTGGAGAGTTTTTTGAAATTTGAGTTTATGTAAGAATACCGATGCTAACACTAGCGTATACGTACACACATATAGTGTT